TCTACCTTCTAAATACAAGGTACCAAAAACATGTATGCACACTTTAAGAAAGAAAAAAGAAACTGTTAAAATTGTTCTACTCAATATGTGCTGGCAACAGAAGATGGGTACAAGGCCGTGAACACCTCCTGTAGTTGCAGAAGTCAAAGGTGACTTCCGTGTGACAAATTTAATACAGTTTTTTCCTTACTAAAATTGTGTATACATTTTTTCGGCACGCTCTGTATATTTTTTCCCCCTCTGTTCACGTCTCTCTCTTACTGTCATTGTCTCAGTCCAGGCCACATCCACTTGCCAGAATTTATTTCGACAGTCTCCTAAGTGATTCTCCACTTGGCAAAATGATCTTTTACTTTAGAGGAGAATATAATGAGAGTGATGGAATAAGAATACTGAGAGCCACTCACTGATGCATTCTGTGCGCCCGCCACTGTGGAGGCACCTTACGTGCTTGGGTTGTTCAATCCTTAGAACAGCCCGACAGAGTAGTTGCGATTACTCTCCGCATTTAGCAGGATAGACAGGATAAGTAAACTCGTCAAAGGCTACCACTTGGCTAGGGGTAGACCCCAGATGTGAACTCTCCATCTCTGAAACTTGTGGTCTTAGTGACGCTACACACTCCCTGTCCTATTTGCCAAATTTTCCCTTAAATAGAAAGGGTCCCTCCCAGTACTAACCTGTGTTGCATTACTCAGCACAGTGCTGGGCACATACGCATTCGAGAAGTTTTTGTAATGGATGAATTCAGGAACTACTGATCCCACATCATTATGAAATAAAACTTTTTAGACAAACCATTTTTAATTGAGGTAAAATATACACATATGATGTACCATCTTTGCTATTTTTAAGCATGCTGTTCAGTAGAAAAACTAATTATTTAGCTAACTGAAATTAAGCCATTTAACTTGGGGTAAAAGTTTTTTTCTTTAATTCTGATGAAATGTTTCTAAAATATAATGCATTCTTTGCCACCTTAGGAGTATGAGAATTTTAATCCTAATGACAAAAAGCTATTGTTATGAACAGTAAGTGTTGTATTTGCTAATTATTTAGTAATTTCTTCTGCACTATTGTGCTTTTTGTTTGTTTGTTTGTTTGTTTGTTTTGAGACAGAGTCTCACTGCATCACCCTTGCTAGAATGCTGTAGTGTCTCAGCTCACAACAACCTCTAACTCTTGGGCTTAAGCAATTCTCTTGCCTCAGCCTCCCAAGGAGCTAGGACTATAGGCACCCGCCACAATGCCTGGCTGTTTCTTGGTTGCAGTTGTCATTGTTGTTTAGCAGGCCCAGGCCAGTCTCGAACCCTCCAGCTTCAGTGTATGTGGCTGGCGCCCTACTCCCTGAGCTACGGGTGCCAAGCCTGCACTAGTGTTTTAATTACCAGCTATATGCTGAGAAAGCCAAAATCTTTGTCCCTGATCTGGATTGTTCTCCTGACCTTTATATCCATGTATGTTCACTCTACATGAAAGTTCAAAATGTCCCCAAACCTTTTACGTGCTCAGATCCCCAAATCTACTTCTTCAGAACTCTACGTCTTAGTGACTAAGTCCTCTGTCTATCCATTTGCCAGCCATAAGCGTAGGCATAGTGTTTGACTCCTTTTCTCTCTTTTTCTTCACCAAGCTCCCACTCAATCAGTTAACAAAGATACTATCAGTTCTGCCTTCTAAATATCTCTCAAATCCTTCCTGCCCCTGTCTCTGTCCACTGCCTTTGAAGGGGCCATTTGGTGAAACTTGCCCTTATCCCTTAGGTTGGTTCGCAAAAAAGATCAACCCACAATTACGGTAGATTAATAAGAGAAAGGTTTATTTCCATGCGCATGGGGGGGAACACAAGAACGATTTCCCAGAGTCTCAGTAAGGGTCAGTGGCTTTTAAAGATGCCTTTTAGAAGGGAGAGGGGAGAGTGTGGAAAGTAGACATGTAGCATTTGGTTGCTGGGGGGAAATGTGTGTCGGTGAGTGGAAACAGATTGATTTGTGGATTAACCTGTGAGACAGGTCTCCTGCTTCAGATGACCTTAGGGCCAGGTCTATGTGATAAGGAGTCCCCCAGCCCCTTTTCTGAATCTAAATCAGGTTACTCAGGTTTTATAGAGGAAGGCCATTGCTTTCTGATCAAAAATGGCCTTTTTTACTTAAAATACTCTTTATACCAAGGAATCGTATTTTGTGGTGAAATTTCCTTAGCTCCTCCACCTTGTCCTGCCTGGGTAATTTAATAAGCTTGTAAATGGCGTCCAATACCCAGAATTTCAGCACAGCACCATTTAGTCTTCATACGACAATCAGAGCATATGCTGTAGACCAGGGATTTGATCATGCACGTTTCTGCTTGAAAACTTCCAATAATTCCTTATTGCTTGTGGGATAAGGTTTGAACTTCTGCGACATTGCTTGTCGGGTCCCCCATGATCTGACCCCGACTTGCTTTTCTGCGTCTTGCCGTCCCCATTTCCACCTGTGCCCCTCGCTGAGCACCAACACTGAGTCCTACTGAACCTTCCCCAGACACACTGCACGTTCTGCTCTAAGGCTGCCGTGTGCTGACTCTGTGGCCTGCTGTCCCTGGGCCCATTTCCCTTGTCATACTGTGTTTACCTATTTGTCATCTTCTCTCCCCTCCTCCCTCGAGACTGCTGGGTCCACAGGATGGAGCCACACCCGTTTTTCTCACCCTGTACCCCTAGTGCCAACTCAGTTTTAAACCATCATGGGCACTGACATATTCTAATAAACTTTTAATTTTAGAATAGTTTCAGGAGAGGTCCTTTATACCAGCACCCAGTTACTCCTACCATTAACATCTTACATTAATATGATACATTTGTCACAACAAATGGGTCAGTATTGATACCTCATTATTAACTAAAGTCCATTCTTCACTCAGGTTTCCTTAGATTTTACCCAAGGTGCTTTTTCTATTCCAAGATCCCGGCCAGGATGCCACACCACACTGCAGTCCTGTCTCCTTAGGCACAGACCTCTCAGCTGGGACAGTTTCTCAGATGTTCCTTGTTTTTTATGATCTTGAGAGCTGCAGACAGTACTGGTTGGGTGTTTTGTGGAATGCCCTTCTATTGGAGTTCTGATGTTTTTCTCAGAATTAGACGGGTTATGGGTTTGAGGGAGACCACAGAGGGATCAGGTCACGTCAAGGTCACACCCCATAAACATGCTCACTGGTGATGTTGGGCTTGATCACCTGGCTGAGGGAGCGTTGCTCAGACTTCTCCACTGTAGTTATTTCCCCCTCCTCTCCATATTGTACTCAAGAAATACCCAACATACACTGAAGGAGGAAGGGGTCACGTTCCACTTCCTTGATGGCAGAGGATCTGCATAAATATTTTCCCATCGGGACCCCTTTCCATCACCTGCAGTGTTTGTCTGACATACCCTATTTTGTTTGTCTTGAGCACTTCTTGACTTTCTGGCACTGCAAGGTGTTTTTGGGTTCCCCCTACCTGCCCCAGACCAAGAATACAGGAGCCCGGGTTCCATTTATTGTTGAATATGTTTGAAGCCACAATCTTAGTGTCAGGTGGGCACTGACCAAATTTAATTAAAATTTGGATTCATTATTACAAACCACAAAAGCACAAAGCACTAATATATGTTTTGACTACCTAAAACGAACAAATATTGTTTTTCTCTTTAGTTTGCTTCTGATACAGTTTAAGAAATTAAACGTGCATAAATCTGAAGGTCATTTTATTCCTCCCCAATTCTAAACCCCTCCCTCTCTTCCCAGAAGCAACCAATCTTAAGGTGGTATGTAGATATTTTTTTCAAGCATGCATGGAATAGTGTATATATAGAAACAAATGTGTCTTAAATAAATGACTGCTTGAGAGCTAAATGTGAGTTCCCGCATGCTGGGCTTTCCTATTGGCAGCTGTGTCTCCACTTGGACCACACTTTTAGGCCCTCGCTGCGGCTGGAGCCAGAGTCCCATTGTCCCTTCTCGCTTGAGATGCCGTCTTTCTGCTGTTGCTTTTAGCCACTCTCTTCCCTGGTCTGCTTCACCCCCTCTCCTCCCAGCTTGCTACTTTGTAGGCCTCCCCTGGTGTCCTTACCAGGAGGAAAAAGACCAGTAACTTGGTGCTGTATGCTTTGGGAAAGCAAGTTGTACACTGAAAAGTGCCAGGCAAATATAGAATCCTACTGGTCTGTTCACAGTGCCAAAAAAAAAAAGGGACTTGGGACATCATTCATTTTTTGAAATTCCTAGCTCTTTAGCAGCTATTTTTGAACTGAAACATATTGTCAGTTGCTTCTAGTTATTTCTGAATTAGAAGGTTGAGGGTGCCAGATTGAAGACCACTGGATATCTGGAAATCTGAACAGTTCATTTCATTCTTCATTTTAATTTTTCTTACAAATACTGTTCCTTAAGATACAGGAACAATAGGCTAGGTGCAGTGTAATCCTCACACTCTGGAAAGCCAAGATGGGAGGATGGCTTGAGCTCAGCAGTTCAAGACCAGCCCTCATAAAAGTGAGACCCTATCTCTACTAAAAATAGAAAAATGAGCCAGCCATTGTGGCAGGTGCCTGCAGTCCCAGCTACTTAGGGATGCTGAGGCATTGGATCGCTTGAGCCCAGGAGTTTGAGGTTGCTGTGAGCTGGGCTGATGCCCTGGTAATCTAGCTTGGGTGACAGAGTGAGACCCTATGTGAAAAAGGAAAAAAAAAAAAGATGTAAGTACAAAACCCAAAATAGAGAAAAATCTTATCATTGAAGAAATTGCTCATGAAACTAATGAATTCTTCGGCAAATGACTTAAAATAAAAGGCTGATTGTATAATTAGACAATGAAAGGCCCCAGCCCTGGTCTCTGTCCACTGGACTGTGCTGCTGTGTGGGCAGTTCAGTCGGTCATGTTCTGGGTGGTAACATGTTGTCTGCTTACCTCAGTACACAGAAATCTCGATTTGGGGTTTCAAGCTCCCTTGTTAGTAAATGTATGTAATTTCTTTCCACAGTTTACCCTTATTTGACAAAGGCAATTTTGGAAGCATTTACCTGAGCACAGTTTGTACGGCATCGGGACAGTCAGCCAGGGCACAATGAAGCACTTCCTGAGGTAAGTGGTGTCCTGACGACCCCTCTACAGCGCAGAGACTTCCTGCTGGTGGGAGTACTATTACTGCTCACCATTTATGAGCCTGTAACCAGGTCTCTTAGGAGCCCATACCATAACATTGCATTTTGACTGAGAACAGTCTGGCTACAAGGCTCCCGTGCTAACTCCCTCTGCATGTTGGAGCTCCCAGATGACAAGAGGCCGTGGGCACCTGCATGGGTACTTGGGGCGACCTTGACCCCGTGTGCATCTGCAGAGTGGTGTGCTGCCGGCCTGCAAGTTGAGGCTTAAGGAATTAGCAGGCAGTGAATCTATTCATATAATACATATTGATCATTTCTCTGAAATCAGTAACTTTATCCCTTAATTTAGATTTTGGTTGGCTGCCTATCCATACAGGCATTTAAAAATATTTTTTTTTGTCAAGATGTATATTCTAAGCCTCTGCTCTTCCTGCCTCAGTAATATCTCTGAAGTCTGTATGATTATTGTTTCCTTGGAGATTATGCTATAGAAAGTATGTTTTATGTTGGTATTTTGGGTGATCCTGGATTTTTTTTTGGAGGGGGGGTGATCTTTTTTTGAAAGCTATTTGGCTGGACTTGTAGTTATGATTATTTTCAAGAGTGTTAATTACCATCCACTCTTCTATTAATGAAATTCCCAGAGACATTTTATATAATATTAAAATACGAGAAAATAAAGTTCTCAGGTCATGAATGTTAGAAAATATAACGCACTTTCTAGACGGTTAGGCTCGTTTTCCTGGGGACAGTCACCTGCCTTTATTACACATTCCCACCATTTTTTTCTCTAAGCAAACGATTGCTGGGCTTGCTGCTTTTCGGAAATGATTTGCTTCCTTCCATGGCTGTAATTTAAGAATTTTCCCCCATTGGTTTTGGTTCCGTCATCGTTTGGGGGTTGCTTGGATCAGTTTGGGTTCACGGTGCTTCCGTGCGGCTACCTGTGTTTGCTGGATCTTAGAATTGCAAAAACCTCACCAGAGGTGTCTATGAAACTATTCACAAGTATCAGCATTTGTTTATTGTGCAGAATATTTTCCAGTCTGTTTATCTCAGCTACATAAAAAATTAGTATTTGAAAAATCACTAGAACATTTGCCAGCGAAGTGTTTGACCTGGTATGTTCTTGGTTGTCATGGTAATTAACTGATCTGTTTATACATTCATAAGAAACTGGTACTCAGGACTCCTCATGAATGCAAATGCTATGTTCACAGAAAGCTTTAGTTAGACTTAATGTTAGAAGCAGCTCAGAAGTCAGGAGCTCCCTTCCTCAAAGGCAGTGGAGGTGGTGGCAAGGTTTGTGCCACGCCCTGGACTCCGAAAATTCTTCTTCAGTGTCTCATTTATTTTAGAAGAACCTAAGCAGCCTCAAAACCAGCCATTGTAGGAGAAGTAGCAGCCTTTGCTTCTATCTCTGGTGTTGGGGCACAGCACAGGTGCACACTGTCCATGGTAGAGATTTTTTTTTTTTTCTTTTTGAGATAGGGTCTTACTTTGTCACCCTTGGTAGAGTGCTATGGCATCATAGCTCACAGCAACCTCAAACTCTTGGGCTCAAGCGATTCTCTTGTCTCAGCCTGCCAAGTAGCTGGGACTACGGGTGCCAGCTATTTTTTTTAGAGAAGGGGGTTCTCGCTCTAGCTCAGGATGGTCTTGAACCTGTGAGCTCAGGTAATCCACCTGCCTCAGCTTCCCAGAGTGTTGGCACATCTGGCCTGAGATGATGTTTTAAAATTAATTTGTTTATGATGATTTAGAACTGGTAGTGAAAATCCACCACTGTAATTCTGCACAGACTAGCACTAAGGATAGCAGAACCAGCACATCCCTCTTAGTTAGGTGTTCTGATAACAAATTTTTCTCTCTTAACTTGGCACATAGGCCGAGTGCAGTGGTTCATGCCTGTAATCCTAGCACTCTGGGAAGCTGAGACGTGTGACATGTCTGAGCTCATGGGTTTGAGACCAGCCTGAGCAAGAGCGAGACCCTGTCTCTACTAAAAATAGAAAAATTGAGGCAAAGGATCACTTGAGCCCAAGAGTTGGAGGTTGCTGTGAGCTATGACACTACGGCATTCTACCCAAGGCAACAGCTTGAGACTCCATCTCAAAACCAAAAAACTTGGCACGTATACTTTATAATTATCATTTGATTATGTGAAGCTGAAGCCAGGATAACAGATTGCACATCAAGAAAGAAACTTGAGGATTTTTTATTAACCATTAGTTTTGAATAACCTTAGTTGATTATTGCTTTTAGCTTTAGTTTTTGCTTTTAACACTTTTTAATTAACTTATAATGTATGTACATACATTATATGTTAATATTTGTGGACTCTGGGAGGAATAGGATGGGAAGAAGTACCAATCCTGCATCAGACAGTATCAGAACTAGACGGCTGTTTATTCCCTGCAGTCCCCTCCCACAGATGGGCGGTTTTGGCAAACTTGTCCTTTGAACCAAAGGGAAGGTTATGTAAACATAGCCTGGATAAATCAGGTGTTAATTCTTGAGTTCAATACACATGTTATAAAGAATGAAGAGTTGACTTTCTCTGAGAAAAATTCAGTGTTATTTAAAATTCAGCGGTATTTAAAAGCCCACAGAGTGATTAATCTGTCAGCTTCCAAGATACTGTAGAATGAAGGGCGCCACGCACAGCTCTAGAAGAAATCTTCAGAAACCAGGCTGTGGGAAGGAATGGATTTTAATCTACATTTAAGATACATGATGCTCAGTTGCTGTCATCAGATATGTAAATAGTGTAACTATTCAGAGCATAAAGGAGTGGAAAAAATACTCACCATGTATTAAAAATTACATGTGATATACAAAATAAATGCTCCTGGGTTAGTACACCCAGCTAAAGGGTGCACTTGACATTGAGGGTAGACGGGAGATATTGGAGATGTGCCCTATAGTCATCTGATCTGACTCCAGCCTTGGTCTGCATGAAAGGACAACATGAGATAAGATGGATAAGAAAATGTACCTAGCCCGGGTGCGGTGGCTCACACCTGTAATCCCAGCACTCTGGGAGGCTGAGGCAGGTGGATTGCCTGAGCTCACAAGTTCAAGACCAGCCTAAGCCAGAGCAAGACCCTGTCTCTTAAAAAAAAAAAAAATAAGCCAGACATTGTGGCGGGTACCTGTAGCCCCAGCTACTTGGGAGGCTAAAGCAGGAGGATCGCTTGAACCCAAGACTTTGAGGTTGCTGTGAGCTATGACGGTACAGCACTCTGCACAGGGTACAGGATGAGATTCAGTCTCAAAAGAGTCAAAAACAAAACAAATAAAATAAAATAAAGATAGAGGATACAGGAGGTGAAGATGCTGTGGACCAAGCAAAGGAAGTATGACTAGTGCCTCAGACGCTAACGTTGGATGTAGACTCTGTTCAGGGTGAGGAGAGGCTAAGTTGCAAAGATCATGTTGAGGGCAATTCTTGGTCACCTTTGCAAGCACAAGGTAAAACAGCCCAGAAGCGTCGTGACATTGTCACCCCTATTTAAAGTGGACCTCAAAGAGAAGGGACAGTCAGATGGAAAGTCTTCTTCTCTTCCAATACATGTCTGCCGTCTCTGACAGCCGGAAACCTAGTCCAACTCCTGCACCTTACAAATGAGAAAGTCCCACAACTCACAGTGGCACATTGGGACTCAGATGCAAAGTCTTGACTTCAAGACTGTTTAATCACACTTCCCGTTCAGCACCACCCAGTCCCCACTGCTTTTGAAGGGAAGAAGGTGCAGGGATGTGTAGTTGTTCCAGGATTTGATTAGCATTGCTGAGGCATGAACTGAGATTATGAGACATAGGAACCACGTCCTGGAAAGGGGAAGGTTATGGTTTGTGCATCCAAATACCTCTCTCTCCGCAGACTGGTGCTTTTCTCTTTTTGAGGGCACATACACACGTATGTATGTTTTTATGTTTTTATGTATTACATGTGTATATGTGTACATAAATATATATAACACAGATATATACACACACAAATACACACATATATATATTAAATTATTTTTGTTCCATGCATTAAAAAGCAAATATTCTTTCCATGCTCTTGTTAAAATATGTCAACCTGAATATTTTTCTAGGCAATTTTCTGTAGGCAGCCTGTCGGGAGCCTGCCTCTTGCCCTTGCTGCCCTCTGAAATCCTTCTGGAGCTCGAGCACCTACATCCCAACCCTCCTGTCTGGGCTTACCCTCGGCTTTTCTTTGGTCATGTCACTTTTAAGCTTCTCCTGCAGAGCACATGCGAGGCAAATGAAAGCCGTGGGCGCTCACCAGTGTTGCTGTGAATTTCATTCATTCACCTATGGGAATTTTCACTTTTGTTCAGAAGTGAACAGGGCATGCTGGTTTTCTAGGCTGTTCTTGCCGTCCTCGTGGGATAATCAAGAGTTGGCTTTCCTGTCCAATTTCGGAGGAAAGTACTTTCCTCTGCCTCCTTTACACCCCAGGCATTTTCCTTTTATGGAATCATCACACTGTTGTTCAACTTTTTGTTTGTATAGTCATTTTCTTTATTAGATTATAAGTTTCTTTAGGATAGGGATGTCTTGTTGCTTGAAGTGAAATTAAGTTCTTGACGCACGCTCACTTTTCTACCACCATAGATTGGCTACACGGCCAATCTCATTTTTCAGGTTGTTTTGTTTTATTTTGAAACAGAGTCTCAGTTTGTCACCCTGGGTAGAGTGTTGTGGTGTCATAGCTCACAGCAACCTCAAACTCTTGGGCTCAAGTGATCCTTTTGCCTCAGTCTCCTGAGTAGCTGGTACTACAGGCACCTGCCACAACGCCTGGCTAGTTTTTCTATTTTTAGTAGAGATGGAATCTCGCTCTTGCTCAGGCTGGTCTCCAACCAGTGAGCTCAGGCAATCCACCTGCCTGGGCCTCTCGGAGTGCTAGGATTATAGGTGTGAGCCTTGCTCAGCCTGCCACCAATCTCATTTTGTATTTGTTTAGTTCCAAGAAGGAGTAAGTAAACTACCTTTCAATTACCATTTTTTTGTTTTTCCCTCTAATTCATTTCAAGTCTTTTTCCTTCAACTAGTCTAGGTCTTTAACTCAGAATAAGTTAATTTATTCACAATAATGAGAATGTCCTCTAAGCTCGTTGTTTAAAATTTTTTTAATTATATATCTGTAGTAAATCTATAATAATAACAGGCCGGTTCCTTATCCCCTATAGAAGATTTGAGGCCTATGGAATAGGATGATAGAGCATTAATGATACCCTTTGATAACTTTATATATTTATTTAATTTTGTTTGTCTTTCGAATATTTTTATTTGCTAATCAAAGTTTATATTTGAGATTACATTTGAATCATTTTAAATGTCGAACTGTAATCTGTTTGCCATTTCCCCATATCAATAAGACAAAAGATTATCCAAATAGCAAAAAACAAATCTGAATTCTAATAAAAAAAAAATCTTATAAATGTATATATTTAAACTTCAAATTTTTAATTGAATAATATCATCCATAAATTAAGAGAAACTGTGCCTCCTTTTCTTTGAAAGGAAAAGGATAAACCATCAATTTACTTATTTTAATTATCCCACAATTGGCTATTGCTCCCGAAGCCTCCGATGTAATGTCCCTGGAATGGGCGACTACCCTTTGCTATAGCAATAGAATTTGAAATAACATCAACTCGTGATAGTCCTGTTAATGTTTACTTTTCAAGAGGCAAAAGGACGGTGGAAAAGACCATGGGGCCTCACACTGCCTGGGCGCAGGGTTTTGGGATGTCTCCCCTGATCTGTGGGGAGAAATACTCTTGTTTTTCTAAAGACCCACCGATGATTGAAACCTCCTTTTAGAGAAAGTCCCATCTACTGGGCCAAACACGTGTTGGTAACTGATCAACAGGGCCCCAATTAGAAACTTCAATAGAGCAACAAAATGAAACAGGAGGGAGCTTGCTCTTCTCTGTGGCCGTTTAGTCAAAAAGTATTTCATTTGGGAAACTGTGATTACTTTTGTACTTATCCTTCCTCACCAATAGTGTACTTCTTGTTTATTACAGGACTTCTTCAAGCAAGAATTAACTTTCATTAACACATTCATTGAAACTGTTCAAAATAAGCCACTTCTATTGCTCTAAGAGAAGACATCAGAATCATAAATTTAAGATGATGGAGTAGGGTGGCTCCACAGGTACCCACACCCCCTCCCGTGGC